AGTGAGTTGCCAAATGTCTGAATTTTGATCACTTGACTGTGGGGATGCTGCAGTGGTCATAAGTGTGAAAAACTGTCTTAAGTCACTTTTTGTCAGTGCCGTTGTAATTCTGAACAGTCAGTAAATGAACTGCTGTATGCTGACAACTATCTGTATTTATCAAACTTGTATGCCGCCCAACAAGCCCAAGGCGAAGAATAAGCCATGCAGATGAACTGTTTGATGAATTAGTTAAATCATCATTTTAGACATTGTTTATCCACTGCAGGATGAAGGCTTTTTCCGTGTGTTTCCAACCAATCGGTCTTGAGCTTTTGTTTGCCAATTGGGACCACAATACTTGCTGATGTCGTCGATCCATCTTGTTTTAGGTCTTTAATGGATGTTTTTATCAAGTGGGATCCATTCTATGACTGCCTTGGTCCACCTGCCATCAGTTCTTCTTGCTATGTAACCAGTCCATTTCCAATTCAATTCTTTTACTCTCTTGATGATATTGTATACTTTTGTTTGTTCTCTAATCCATGTGTGGGTCTTTCTACCTTGTCTTGTAATGCCGAGCATGTGTCTTTCCATGGCTCTTTGCGCCACTCACAGCTTTTATATTTATTGTGAACTGGTTAAATAAGAAGGATAATTTCTAGTGGATAAATCTGTATGCCAGGGGTGTCAAACTGCCGATCCGCTGGCCGGATGGGTCAGACGGAAGCCATGTCCACCCCAGCTCCGGCAAGGGGAAAAAGTCACAATACGTCGTGACACATCATGTGATGCAGTGAGTTTGTCACCCCTGCTGTAGGCTATCAGGACCAGCATCCTTAGCAATAAGAATCTTTCAGCAGTGGAACTAATTATCAACTGAGCTGGCTCCCTTTCATTGAACTTGTTCAAACTGAATCTGGACAGGCGTCTGGGATGTGCTGTCGATAGCTGATAGCCTAAAATGGCAACTTCTAACTCTTATTCTATAATTAACGGATTTTCAGAATGTGCCCAACCAGATGCTGCCAGTACACCCCCAAGTTGTACATAATAACATGTCATCAGTAGCAAATTCCAAATCAAACTTCCCACTAGAATCTCTTTGATGAAGTTTGGCAGCTTTTAAATCTGGTAGTAACTGCAAATTTAAATGCTTCCGCTCTAGTTTCAATAGACCTTTGTTCGACTTACTTATGAGCTCGGACAGAACAGTAAGTACTGTTTACATCACTTCGCATGAAATGTGCAAAGTTATGTAAGAGCTTTCAGGCCTGATTGAGTACAGCAATGGAAGGCAGTACTGTATGGGTGGGATGAATGCCATTGATTCACCTGATTGCCATTCTCAGTGATCTGCAACAACCTAGTCTTGTTACAGGATGGGTCATTTTAAAGCTGTTTAAAGATACAGGCAATCCTTGTTTACTGAATGTCTTGTGCACTAACTGTATGACGTTACAACAGAGCATTATAACCATCACAGCATTCTGTGGTCACATGAATTCCATTCGCTTTGCAACCAGTTTGCAATAAGCAGACTTAATAAAGAAAGTGGAAGTAAAATAAGTCACAATCATATTTTTGCTTAGTAACCATGGTATTTTGCTTAAGCAAAGGAGATCTAAGGTCATGAGCTCATTGCAGTCACATGATTTTTTGCTTAGCACCAAGTTGCCAGTCCAAGTCATGGTTGGTAAGCAAGGATTACCTCTAAGTTAAGTAATCTTCTGTAAGCACAGATATTAGTGATATCTGATCTTGGAAAGAATCTTTCCTGCTCATGCTATCATTATTATTTGCCTTGCAGGGCAGGAGGTGTTACTTTTACATTACTCAAGTTGTATTGAATGCTTACTACTTCATTCTCTGCTTGTATTCACTCACATACCAGTGCCACATTTGTTTCCCATCTCCTTAGGAGCTGCTCCTGTATTTCATCTGCATCAGCTAACTGGGCCACCTGGATCTGTTGAATGAGGTATTGCAAAGTTGTTTGCTTATACCTGTTCCCCAAAGAAGAGAGGTTCTTTTTGCATTTGTAATAAACACATGACAATTCAATGCCTCATGTTATCCTGTATGTTTGGTATACATATGTGTGAGCTTCTATGTGTTTAGCTAGGGGGTAGGGTTGGGTTAAAACAATGATAAACATGCAATATCTGAAGTAACCTCCACAATTTATGTAGGGTTATATTACCAGTTGAGCCAAAGTAAGCTCAGTAAGCAAAGTTGCTTACTGAGACTGTCTCATTCTTTCTGATTATCATGTATAAATGGATGATGATGATATTGGATGAAAAACCAAAGGAAGTGTGGGTGCAACAGATAGTTTGTGCAATCATGCCAATGGATTCTTCCTAGTGGATCTTTGCAGTTTTTCAAATGAGTGTTACTCAAAATGAAACACGTTATCCTTGAACTTATGGCATCAAAGCCAGGAGAAATACCAAAGATTCCAACTTGCATGTTGGCTTTCAGAAGAACAGATTTTGATGTACTCAGACAAAAGGTAGATCCATTGGCTTGAAATTCATAAGGAGAAAAGCACCCGGGAAGAAGTGGAAGACTGGAAAATGAAATTTAAAAGGTGCAAACTATTTCTGCTAGAAGGAAGAAGGGGAAATTGGTCTCTATTTAGACCACTGTGATACATACAGTTTTTTCTGATGTATTTGAGAAGAAAAAGGGACCTACATAGGAAATAGAAGTATATAACCAAAGAAATATACATGTCAGTTGCCAGGATCTGTCTGTCACTTTGACATCAATTTTGGGCAAGATTCTTGAGCAGATAATTAAACAGCATGTTTATGAACACTTTGGTAGGAATGCAACAATTAACAAAAGCCAGCATGGGTTTGCCATAAATAATGCCAGGCTAAGCCTCTCTTTTTTCTGACAGAATTGCTATCTTAATAGATTTTGGAAATGCCTCAGACATAGTGTACCTTGATCTCAGCAAATCATTCAGTGGTGTTTCTCATAATACCCTTAACATAATTGCAAAATATAAGCTATGTGTTACAATGGTTAGATCAGTGGTTCTCAACCTGTGGGTCGGGACCCCATTTGGGGTCGATCGACCATTTCATGGGGGTCGCCAAGCAAGGCTGTCCGCCATTTTTTTTGTCCGCCATTTTTTTTGTACGCCATTTTTTCCCCCTTTTCCGGTGGGTGCCTTACCTCCCTTGAGCTGGGCCAGCTGGTGGTCGGCCTGCTCCGTCTCTGCCGCTTGCCAGCTACGCCTCGGCCGGCGCAGGGGGCGGAACCACGCATGCGTGGTGCTCCCGGGCAGGGAAAGTCCTCGACTTACGACCGGTTGGGTAGTCCTCAACTTACAACCGGTTTAGTCCTCGACTTACGACCGGTTTAGTCCTCGACTTACGACCGGTTGGGGTCGCGGCATTAAAAAGGTTGAGAACAACTGGGTTAGATTGAATTGTAATTGGCTGAGTGATTGTACCCACAGAGTACTCGTAAATAACTGCACATCAGATTGGAGTGTGGAACCAAGTGGAATGCCACGGAGTTCTGTCTCAACATTTTTATGAATGATTTGCATGGAAAGGACTGAGGGAATGAACATCAAATTATCAGAAAATGAAAGACACTGGCATCAGATGTGGAAAGTTGACTTGGTTGTATATATGTGAAAAGATGGGTTCTGTAACTGATCACAGATATGATCCAACAGAGTGAAGGAGCTGCTAAAAAGACATCCTGTTCTGAGATATATGAACAGGAGCATAGATCAGGAACTAATTTTATCTGGGTTCACTTCTAGATGCTGCAGTCTAAAAAGCACATTGACAGTTGTAGCTATTTTGGAAGGGGGATGCCAGAATGGTGAGGGATCCAAAAGGAAAATCCTGTGAGGAGCAGTTAAAGCAGCGGTTCTCAACCTATGGGTCGTGACCCCATTTGGGGTCGATTGACCATTTCACGGGGGTCGCCAAGCAAGGCTGTCCGCCATTTTTTCCCCTTTTCCGG